ATTTTTGTAAAATTGCTTACCACACTTACGATTGCTATAAATTTTGCTTCTATTTTTTAAGATTTTCTAACTTGGTGTCTTCAAACTAAAAACAAAAGCACCAAAAACGCATCAAGCACAAAACTCAAAAATTTTCGCGTTTTAAATGCCCACTAAATTTGGTGCGAAAAGCATCAAGTTGGCAACAGTGAATGCAGACAAAAGTATTTTATGACGTCAGCAATTGAGTGGATGCTGTCAAATCGACGAAGAGAGGGTTAGCGGTCCGCGAATGGCGCGACCTTTATTTTCTGGATCGTGATATATTATTATTATATTATGGCTGTATCCGTTGTTTCTGATTGTAGCAAAAGATCGGAAATACGAAATATGAAAAGAAACTTGCCTAGTGACGAATTCGCTCCTTGATATGGTGGTTGGTCAATGCTATTTATATTCGAAATTGCATGAAAATTGGAAAACAGGATCCTGTAAGCTTATCCAGGCAAAAAGCTACCTACGTACAAAATATTAATTTTGATTTTTCGAATAGATCGGTCCCTGGCCCACATCGCGGAAAAAAGGATCCTATATGGTAATCTAGGCAAAAAGCTACCTACATACCAAATCTAAGCAAATCGGACCATAATTAGGGTGCCAGATGCGCTGATTTAATCAGTACATGTGCTGATTTTTTTCTATTGTACTGATTTTTAAGAGCCCGAAATCAGTACGCAAAATCTACAGATTTTTTGAGTTTGTACTGATTTTTACATTTAATAAATACTTTCGTAAATTTGTGTAATTGACATTTACTTGATGTTTACGTGTTCAAAACAATTGTGTTTGACAACTCATATGTACGTGTGAGCAGATTGAAAGCATTAATTAAATTTAAACCATTATTAAAAAGGTGTCAGCTTGCAGTTGTTTCGTTTCCTAGGATTTCGCAAAATAACAAACTGTTTGGATTCAACCCAACCCGATTTGCAATAACGATTGGCAGGTTTTACAGGATTTACAGGAAAAGCTGGTTTCGCTATTAATAAATCTTATGAAAGGTGGTGGTGAGTTAATCATATATTAAGTACACTGAGAAGATGACAATAAGAGATTTGATTATAATTAAACGTCCACTGAGAAATCGGCTGTCAGTATTTCAAACTTAAGACGACTACTGCTTCGGTGCAATGTAAGTTCTAACAAGAGCAGCGCTGTCTTCGGCTATGCCGAAGGCTTCATACCTTTCATGAACATCTGTAAATTTTACTTTGACAGATTACTGCTTTTGAATACATCTGCATACATCGATAGAAGAGTTACATACCTATATAAAAAATCGTATCTGAACAATCAGAGGTATGGAAGATATACCTTATATTAGCACCAATCTAAGTGATTTTCACTGCTATGTGATCGGTATGTGAACCGGTAACACAATTTATTGGGTTTAGTTTCCTACATAAATCTGAACAATCAGATGTATGGAAGATACAAATATGCTATAGTCACCCGATCCTTGTCATTTTCACTGTAAGTATTCAGTTAATAATGAGTGAAAATGGTGCGAAATTTCATGTTCCTAGCTGCATAAATGGAGGAGTTATGATAAAAGGCCTCATATCTGAACAATCAGTTGTATAGGGGCTGCAGGTTATAGTGACCCGATCTTTGTTATTTTCACTGTAAGTCTTCTGTTGATAATGAGTGAAAACAGCGCGAAATTTCATGGTCCTAGCTACATAAATGGAAAAATCTCATATCTGAACAATCAGTTGTGTGGGAGCTATAGGTTATAGTTACCCCATCTTTTTAATTTTCACTGTAAGTTTTCTGTTGGTAATTATTGAAAACAGTGCGGAATTTCATGTTCCTAGCTATATAAATGGAGGAGTTATAACCAAAATTTTATATCTGAACACCCAGTTGTATGGGAGCTATAGGTTATAGTGACCCGATCTTTGTAATTTTCACTGTAAGTATTCTGTTGATAATGGGTGCAAGTATTGCAAAATTTCATGTTCCTAGCTGCATAAATGGAGAAGTCATAACGAAAAATCTCATATCTGAACAATCAGTTGTATGGGAGCTATATGTTATAGTGGTCCGATTCTTCCGGTTCCGACAAATGATTAATACATTATAAAAATACACCCACCTACCAAATTTTATACGGATATCTCGAAAACTGAGAGACTAGATTGCATACAAACAGACGGACAGACGGACATGGCTAAATCGACTCAGCTCGACGTTCTGACCATATAAGTATACATTTTAATGGGTCTATCTCTTTTCATTCTGGTACTTACAAACATCGGACCAAAGTTATAATACCATGTCATCAGTGTTGCCACTTGAAAATATTTTTAGGTACCAAAACGCCTACCAAATCAGTTACCAAACTACCAAAATTCGTTCATCATTAAAACGAGATTTCTCGAGTTTGCGGGGTTTTTAGCTACACAAATTAGCAGTAAAAATTAAAACTACACATAATATTTTTTACATTATTGGTTAATTATTCACACCAATCTTCAAGATTAAACAAAAGAAATTCGGGCCTTTAAATAAAATAATTAAGTTACTGTATAAAAAACGTTTGTAAAATATGAAAATATCTTTGAGATTGATTCAATTCATATCAAAAATTTTTTTTTGTGTGCGAAAAAAATAAAATAAAGCAGACATTTTATGCATTTTAATAAAAAAATTCCAAATTTGATTCAATTTGCATACACTCATCCTTTTTTACCAATACACTCACATTTTGCAAATTGCATATCACCAATTTTTCTTTCAAGACAATAGGTAATTTCTCATTAATTTCAACAGCTAATCGGTCGTAGCTTTGGGAAGTGAGTTTTTATTTTCAGAAAATTGTCTGCTTAATAAAATATAGAAAAAAATAAAGAAATCTTATACGTGTAAGCAAAGAGAAAGCAGTGTTTTGAACGTGTAAACTTAAATTAAACAAACAAATTTTAATGATCAATTTGGTTGTATTTTCAAAACAATTTTACCTACCAAAAACTTCATCAAACCAACCCAGCTACCAACGGAGAATGAAGCTACCAATTTTGGTCCAATTGGACCAAAACGGCAACGCTGCATGTCATGCTCATGAAAGGTATAAAAATTTGGAAAAGGTGCAAACTACCGACTCATGAATATGATATATATAGCTTTACTTTGATTTTTGATCTTCTACCACCTGTAATTTTACTTGCACATACACATTTAACACTATTAAATTTCATTCGTACTCGAAAATTCGTTTACCGATAATTCGGTAATATACCTTTTAGTCAACATTTTAATGTGAATGCTGTATTTAATAAGCACACCAACTAAATGAGTTTTAAATTTGTAGCTTAAAATATGCAAACAGATTCTGGCTCGAGCTCGGCTTCTACTGAAACTGAATGGGCTACAAATTTTTTTTTTCTCAATTTTTATAAATTTTCTGGAAAGTTTGAGACTTCAACTCACATGTCTTTTGTTATAGAATTAACTATATTTTTATAAAAATTTTAAATTAAGTAAGGAAATAAAAAAAAAAAATTCAAAACCTGTTAATACATTTTACTACTATTTTCCTGAGCACAGCTGTACATACATACGTAATACCTTTGATTTGTTTTAAAGTAATGAATTTTTATATTGATAATACTATATGTATTTAAAAGTCTATTAGTTATTTTTTGTTAAATTAATGCGCTGTTATTTGGTTGTTATATTGTTAATAATAAAAAATACGCTTAAAAATGAGCTGATTTTTATCACTTTGTACTGATTTTTGATCCCAACTGTACTGATTATGTCACTATAATATCTGGCCACCCTAACCATAATAAGATTTTTTCGAATATATCGGTCCCTGGTCCACCTACCAGAAAAAACTAAAACATGGTGGTTGCTGAAAGCTATTTATATAAAAAATTTCATGAAAATCGGACCAGCCGTTCGCGAGATTACCTGTTACAAAAAAAGGGACTTCTCTTTATATAATTAGTATAGAAGATAATTGGCTAGTATTTTATTTGTAGTTTACCAAAATTTCAGTCGCTGAGGGTGTTTTCCTTTAAATAAGTAATTAAGAAAATATCGATACCCGATATCGAAAAAATCGATCGATCGGCAACCATGTACTCCATACTGACAACGATGTATTTGCAGATCTACTACTTATAGCATACGGGGATTCAGGTAATTGTTTCTAAAAAGTTATCGTTTAAAACTATCGAGTATAAATGTAATGTCGAAAGTATTTATATGGTATCATATCGTAACGGAATTCGATTAGAAAGGAAAAAAAGGATGGACACACGCGAAAAGTTGAGAGTTGGTCACCGTTTTTATTTGCTTTTGTGTCGGCTTTGGCTATCTTTGGTTGTATAAAAATCTTAATATAAATGTATGTACGCACATATGTCCAGATGGCGAAGCGACGCCAACGCCAAAGTTGTTTAAGAGTTGCCTACTCCGATTTTCTAACAAATGTCACAATTCTTCCCTCTGTTGCAGTAATAACAAGTAAGCACATCGCACACCGTCTTCGAAAGAGTCACAACTTAAAATTTGGCATTTTTGAGATTATGCGCTAAAAATGCATGCAGAGCTTTTATTTACCTGTCAGAAAAAGCTGAGCAAATTTTTGATTTAATTTGTTAAAAAAAAACCTAAGGTAAAGTCGCCCTTGCCCATATGATTATCATGTGTTAAGAAATAGTTTTTCGCATTTTCTGACAAACGTATTATTTTTCGTTGTGACTCTGTTGAAGACGGTGTGCGACATTCTGATTTTCTACAGAAAAGCATATCCATATAATCCGCTGTATAACTCAGAAACATTAAATTTTGAGTTTTGTCGTTATTTCAGAGGACCAGAAATGCCTACATGCATATATACATACCCATATATGTATGCATGTATGTATACGTACGTATGTATGTATACGTATGTATGTATGGATACGTATGTACGTACGTAAGTACGTACTATGTGTATCTTTACTTACCTCTTCATATATGGATTAGATCAGCTGTTTTATCTGTACCACTTCGTTTCACACTTCCCTTTCGCCCGGTTTACCGTGTCACTTGTTATCAGGACTGCACAGCTGATTTTGACAATCACTATTACCCACTGTATTTATTTGTTTCTATTTACTTTAAGAACTTTCTTGAACACATGCATAAATATATACACAAATCCCAACAAACACAGAAAACACTACTCTCCCACTTCAGCGTGAGCGGTGCTTTATTGGAGCCGAACGCGTTGAATGACGCAGCCACTATTCTCGTTTCACCATCAAATAGTCACAAATGACCCGCCGAGTATTTCCACTCTAGTAAGTAAATGAGCTCTTTTTACTTTACACTGATTTTGCTATCTATTTCTTCCAAAAAATTTTTATATGGTTTGCTTACTAGCTTGTCATCTTAATCTAGTTTGCCTTTACTACAAAAATTTGTATACTCTTATCTATGTATGTACATTTAGTGTTTTTTTTTTTTGGTTTGTTATTTTCACTAATGCATCGATTTTGCAACACCACTAACCCGCAGCCGTTGAGAACGACTCGCGCGAACGAACTGACAACAGCTGATTGCTTACAAATTTGCTTTTCGACCAGCGTTGCCATTTTAGCCGTTTTCCGGCTAGATTTAGCCGGTTTTGATAGCAACTAGCCGGAGAAAATTCGATCTAGCCGGCAGCCGATTTGTTAGCCGGTTTGTAAAAAAAAGTTAGCCGTTTTTAGCCGATTTTACTATTTGCCTAATTTTCAGGTGCAAAAAGTAAACAAGTTGTTCGAAAGCAATAATGCAGACCCAATGAAGATTTTTAATGAACTCAATGTTTTACTTTCGCATCTATGCTCCCTAGTGGTTATTAGCGCGGACACATTTGATCCTATATGCTCCCCGTTGGAACCATACCTTGCTCCATTTCCTCAGTTTTATCACAGTTTTGAAGAGTATTTAAAAACAAAAGTAAGCACAAACGCTTTTGACCACGAAGCCGAGAAAATAATTCGAGAAAATGGTCGCTATTTTATTATCACTTTAATAAAGGAATTACGCCAACGCCTCCCTACAAATAATGCCACACTAAAAAAAATTGACTTTTTTCGGTTGGAAATGCATTAAGAGTAATTAAACCAAAAGTATTTGTTCAACTACAGCAACAAAACCACAAATATAATTCCGACGAAATAACATCCATAGAGATGCAATGGCAACGGTTAACGTTACATACCTGGAGTAATTTAGACTCAACTGTAAAATTTTGGGCCGAAGTTTATCAATTTCGAAATGCCCTAGGAGAAAACCCTTTTGCTGACCTTTGCAACCTAGTTTTTAGTTTTCTTGTTTTGCCTATAAGTAATGCAGAAGTAGACCGAATATTTAGTTCAATGAATATAATAAAAACTAAGCAAAGAAATCCAATGTGCGTTAAAACGTTAAACGCTATTTTATATATAAGATACGGTTTAAAACGTGAAGAAAAATGCTGCCATAATTTTACTGTAGATGACGATCTCTTAAAATTAATGAATTCAGGTGATATATACAATAGTGATTCATTTGATGATGAGGAATATACACTCGATATAAATTAATGGTGTTAACTAGTCTTTCGTTTCTTGCGATTTATTTAAATAAAGCATGTGAATTTTCACTAAAACATTTTAGCCGTTTTTTGCCAGAGTCTATGTGAAATTTCACTAAAACATTTTAGCCGTTTTTAGCCGCTTTTTTTTGCCAATCTAGCCGGTCGGCCCAAAAAGTTCTGGCAACACTGTTTTCGACGCATTTGCCTTCAATATGTGCTCACATTCATATAATCACGTACATAGATACGTACATATGCACACATGAATGTAAAAATGTACACATTTGTATGTACCTATTTTGGTGCATAGGAAAATCGCCTCTGTTTCATGGTGGAGCAATCCCCCAAACCACTTGTTAGAATGTCATATTGATTAAAAACTAATGTTTATGTAGATTTGTTTAATGTTCTACGAGTATGACCGTGTTTAGTTGGCAAAAGCTTTTATCGTAGACACATACCGGAAGTGATCATATTTGGAAACTTTCAAATTTCTGAGACAGTAGATTGGAATTGAATAGTCTTTAAATCGCCGCTGCTTTAACACGATCGCTCAAAGCGATTTTCTTTTTACATAACACTGTGTTATATTAATGTACAAATGTTAACTTGTAGTAAGTAGGGCAGCTTTGAATGGGCCAGTAAACCGTTGTCTGTAGTTTGGAACTAAACTGATTTGTTACTCATTCTTGGTAAGCGTTTGGTTATATTTTTATACCCGAGCGCACTTGTGCCCAAGGGTATTATAACTTTGTTCACATAACGGTTGTTTGTAACAGGCAAAACGAATCGATATAGATATAGACAAATGTATACATAAATGACCAGAATGAAAAGAGAAATCGATTAAGCGGTGACTGTCCGTCCGTCCGTCCGTCTGTGCACCCGATAACTCGAGTAAAAATTGAGATATCTTAACGAAACTTGGTACGTCCACTTCTTTCTGGCGTAGGACAGATGGTATTGAAAATGGGCAAAATCGAACAATAACCACGCCTACCTGCCATATAACGGCAATTTTCAGAAATACGAAAACTGCGATATTTTAGTAACTACTGAAGATTATTCACTCAAAATTGATATTTACAATAAGTTTTAGACACACTTCCGGGAAAAAAGTTTCAAATTTAGGTGGAACTTTGTTACACTTTTTTGTAATTTCTACAAATTGTTGAACTAGGGTATATATGGGGTTTGTCTGATAATGAACTAAATTTTAATTGAAAATTCTTAAAAATAAATAAATAAACATAAGGGGCACACAATATCACTTGGAAATGGCGTGCTATACATATGACCGATACTGTATGTATGTTTATTGGTTATGAGACAAAATAGATATGTATGTAAATAACGTAACTTTCACTTCCCCAGTGTGGCCCAGGCGCACTTACCTTTTTATAATCTTGAGGCGAAATTTCCCACAATAAGTGTTGCCGTGCGAGCAAAACGAAAACACTGCACACAACCCAAAAGTACTCCTCGGGGACCAATTGGCGAAAAACTGCGAAAAGATTTTTTACTGCATATTCTGTGTACGTTGCGTAGCGTAGAAGTATCAAGTTTGCTGTTGAAAGAAAGAGAGAGAAGCAATGTCTACGGTGGTGAGATCTTAGGTCCATTCAATATCAAAAAATTGTTACGAATTGTTGCTAGTACTTGCAAGTTTTTACTGGGAATGCATTCAATAACCCAAAATATTTGGAAGAGCAGCGAATTCAAGAGCGTAACAACCCGCGAGAGCTGCAAATTCTTGCAAGTAAAAATTTTACTAGCAGGAATTTGCAGGAGTCAAAAAATAAGGTTATATTTCAAATTCAAATATTAACAAACTATTTAAGAGGATGATTTGATGAACCATAATTAGTGAAATGAAAATGTGGATGAAAAATTTAAATCTATTGTATATTGTTTTTATTTTTATGACGATGGGAACTATTCCCAATTAAAAAGAAAATAGCGCGCCAAAATTTAACCGTCAGAAAGTGTCAAAATGACTTAAGTTGCAATTTTTTACTAGTTTTGCGTTCAATAACTTTTTTTGAACATTTTCTCTTGCTCTCAATTTTACTCTCTATTTTTCTTTTACGCTCTCGCTGCAAGTACTTACGGGAAACGTTATTGAATGGACCTCTTGTTAGCACGCAGCTCCCATAAGATAGATTGTGTCAGCAGGCACGTTCTCCGTTTTTACGTCCGTGGATAACTGCGCTTTAATGGAGGACTTAGGAGAGAGCTGACGAACTAGCAAGGTGCAAATCAGCACTGAATGTGTCCCACGCAGAGTGTCCGGATTTGGCAATTTCGCGCCAATTTAGTGATTTTTTTTTTGATATTTGCGCGTAAAAACTTAGGAAATCGCGATTTATTCCCTTTAAATAAATTTTTTCCAATTATAAAAATATGCAAAACTTCGTTTTCCACGATAATTTTACAGAAGAGGCTAAAGAACTGCGTGATAAACTTAACTTAAGAAGCATATTAAAAGACTTAAAAAGACTTAAGACCAGTTGAAGGCCAAGTAGAATGTTTTAGAGTGCAACTGCTGTATGACATACAGTAAAACCCGCTTAAGTACCTCACGAAAAATGTCAGCTTTTTGAGGTACTTCGGCGGGTTGGGTACTTAAAAGAACCCGCTTAAGTACCTCGATGCGGGTACTTAAGCGAACATAATTCTTGATGTAGTTACATCTTCTTGTTAACTTACATAAAAAAAAAAATTAATAAAACATGAACATTTACTGAAGTGTACGTAATTTAACACCAAGCTTGTAGCATTATTTAAAGAAGAAACATATAAAGAAAATCTGTATAAAAAAAAAAAAACAGATAAAGCAATGTTGTGTCATTTTCACAAGAATTAAATTAAAAAGTCATTGATTATATATATTCATTCAAAATGATATTGTTTGCCAGTTATGTTATTTTTATTAATTTTAAAATGTTTAGATTAAAACAAAATTCATTCCCTAACAAATACCATAGAGACATATGGTCTTATTCATAAAAAATAAAGTAGCTTTAACAAACGTTTATAAACTGAACAATGTATGAAAACGTCACTTTACAAAGCTCTTTAAACCTACTTTATTTTTTATGAATAAGGCCATTAAAATATGAGCTTAAAATTTTGCAGAACACTGAAAAAATCATCAAAATTTCAAACTTGTTTTTCAGAAGTGTTAAAATTTTTTATGACTACACACTTGTATAGCTCATTCAATTTTAGTGTAATAATGCGCAAGTTTCAAGTGGCTAAAAATTAGCATTGATTTTTTGGATTTTTTCCGAAGATGTGTAGCTGAATTTAAACATATGTAAACTTTTGAAGAAATTAAAAAAAAAGCACTTAAAAGGGGTAAATTATAAGTAAAATGGTAAATGGGTTACGAAAAGTTTAGGTACTTAGGCGGGATGGGTACATAAGCGTGGAGGTACTTAAAAGAGGGATTTTCTTCAGAATACATTAAAAAATTCACCTTGCCCAAAAATGTTGGGAGCTTAAGCGGGGGGGTATCTAAGCGAGTTTCATTGTATTGTATTACGTACTAAAATTCATTTAAGCCGCCAAATGGCTGTAGGTTTCACGAGTTGTCGAATCAAAATGGCAAAGTTCCTAATTGCTTGTCCCTAGGGTGACAATCCACTTAGACCAGTGGTGTCCAACAGAACTTGGACAAAGGGCTACTTTGAAACTATCGCTATAATACGCGGGCACCGCTTGCTTAACTTCAATCTTAACTGCGTTAACTCCTTTTAAAATATTTATTTATTATTAAAGTTTATACAGTTAAGTTAAATTAATAGCAGTGCATAATATTTTAATGAAGAACATTCATTTTATTGTAAACATATGGGAATGTGCTGCAATTAGTACGATTTGAGATCGACGCGATCTGCAAAACCTTCTTCGGAGATTGATTAACAAAACGGCGAAATTTGGCACTAAATCGATAGATATGACGTAAGTTA